GCTTGGCCCTTTCGGCATGTCCACGGGCTTTTCGCCAGGAGCTGACCAAGCTGGCAACTCAGCAATCTCAACCACGGGAGATCGGCCAGTGGTTCGCCACAGGACCCCCCTTACAAGGTTTACCCCGAATTCATGGGACTCCGTGGGTTGCAACCTGCCACTGTCTATGGCCGAAGACCCAAGCTGGAAGTCGCTGACCCCTTGGGCTTTGCACGGCATCTTTCTTGTACACCAAGCAAGCGGGTCGCGAGGGGACCTGGAACCCGGTGACAGGGACCGCCTCTCGTCGCCAGCTGAAATATTAAATGGACATACTCCAAGGAGCAAGGAGATATGTGGTTGCTCCCTAAACCAACCTGAATCTCATGTCCAAATTTGGTTACCTCAAAAACATGCTGTGACTTGTTGGGAGGGGCTTGCTTGTTCGTCCTGGTTGAAGGTTCGGAACGGCATCTTCCACTTGCCGAAGCGGTTGGGAATTTCTGGGTGGGTTTTGATTTGGGAAATTGTTATGCCTGGTACCGAACCTTTCAGGAGCCATGTAGAGCCCTTAGGTGCATCTATTTAGGACATCCAAGCGGGCCCAGTTGTTTGATTGGGTCTTAGGGATGTCAAATCTAGAGGCTAGAACAAAACAAACACGGAAGCAGCCAGAAACACACAAACAAACAAACAAACAAACAAACAAGGCAGAAAGGCAGAAAGGCAGAAAGGCAGAAAGGCAGAAAGGAAGAAAAGCAGAAAGACAGAAAGACAGAAAGCAGCAAGACAGTCAGACAGAAAAACAAGCAAGCAAGCAAGCAAGCAAGAAAGAAAGAAAGAAAGCAAGCCAACAAGCCAACAAGCAGACAAGCGACCAAGCCAGAAAGCAAGCAAGCAAGCAAACAAACAAACAACAAACAAACAAACAAACAAACAAACAAAGAAAGAAACAAACACCAAGTGACAGTCACAAGTCAAACAGTAAAGCCAAACCGAAACAACTGTTCATATCAGTGTCTCTTGTTCCTGTGTCACCATTTTGGAGTGGCCTGAAAGAGAAAAACCAAATGGAAAATAGGAAGTCCTCTATTGTAAAACATCATACCTACATACATATATACATATATATTATGATCAGTTCCCCTAGTCAAACTCTCTGTGCTCATCTTCTTGTCGAAAGGATGGCAAGAACGCCTTCCTCTTCAGTGAGGGGGGGGGGCAAACAGCAGGGAGTGGGGCAGGGAGGAGGGAGGATTCCGGTCTCCCCCAGCTACCTTCCAAGTACCATGGAACTCCTACTCTGCTCATCGGAGGGGGTTCCCCTTTTAGCTCCGACAAGTACACATGAATCCCAAGCGAACGCTCCCTCCTCCCTCCCTGCGTATAGCCGCCTTCCTTTTCGCCCAGTCTCCCTTTGAGACTACCCTGCTTGTTTTGAAGGGAAATTACAACACCCTAAAGCATTCTTGGGGAAGCACACCCAAATCTACCCCCGAGCCTGCCATGAGTGAACCTACTTTGAGGGCTACACAAACACCAAATTTGCGTGTCTTCTTTCGGTACCCGGGGAGAAGGTCCCCAACAAATGGAGAGACCAACACAAAACAAAAGTTGCTTGAATTCTCTTCCGATATTTTTTGGGGGGGTACCCCAAAAACTGCAGGGGGGGAGAAGGAAGGCACACCAAAAAAACCGGTCCAAACCCTCCCCGCGTTTTGTTTTCGTGCCACCTCTCGGGGCTTTCGCGCACTCGCGACTCCAACCGCGCGGCTCGAGAGGCCTGGGGCAGGTGCCGCCAGGCCTCCACTAGGCCCCGCAGGGAGTCGGACCTCGCGCGCGAGAGGCTCGCACGGCGCCTGTTTTTTTGGGGGGGGCGGTGAGTTTGAGCGACGGCGAAAAAGGGGACGGCGAAAAACCCGGGGAGTTCCACCACGTGGAATTTGAGGGGTTATCTCTTCGTTTTTTGTTGTGTTCCTCTTGTATTTGTTGGGGGGGAAGGGTGGGGGTGTATGCATAATTAGTATCATAGATGTTGTTGGTTGTTCATTTTGTTGTGTGTGTGTGTGTGTGTGTGTGTTTCTCCTTCTTCTGTTTTTTTTTGAAGGGGGCGGCACTTTTTTTTGGGGGGGTGTATGCGATTGCTATTATCATATGTTTTGATTTTATTTATGTTTGTTTGGGGGTGGAAGGAAAGCAAAAGGAGACGGTTGAGTCAATTGGGCGGGTTTTTCTAGACAAAGCCAAGCCCCTTTAAACATCACTTGGCAAAAAGGAAGCTCGCTGGCTCACTTTGACTTGGCAACCGAACGACGTTGTTTAAAACCACCCTTTCAGGGCGTAGCTAAATCCCATTATCCCCCCCTACCTTAGGGGGAGGGGGTAGGGGGTCCCCCGATTCCATTTCTCTAGTCTTCCCCATGAAAGGGATAAATGGAACTATAAATGGAATTCCAGGGGTCACCCCCCCTCCCCCAATTCCATTTTTAAGGGGCGTTGCTGAATCCCATTCCCAGGCAAAGGGCTTGAGACCCTCCCCCAAAACACCCCCGCATATGGCTTGAGACCCTCGCCCAAACCCCCCACCCCCCTCGACTTGGACGGCAGCTGTGGCCCACACACCACCCGCACGCGGCGGTCCATCCACGTGGTCTCCCAGCGCTCCAGCTGGCGAAAAAAAGCTCGGGCTCTGACCCCACCCTCGGAGGTTTAATGGGATATAGCCACCATACAAAGGGTGCATATGTATTTTCCCCCTTCGTCTTAGAGCCAGCCCGAAAGAGGTGTTCGGGACCCCTATGGTCTGCTTGTTCTTTGTGGTCCTCTTAAAAAGAATCCCAATCACAAATTAAAGGGGCCAAACCGCCTTTTTGAGAACCCCCCAAAAGAAAACTTGGAAAACCAAGCAGCAAGGCAGCCACGTTGCCATCTGCCCTCCTTTTCTCTTTTCATCATCTGGCCATGGGTCAAAGCCCGGACCCCCAGTGAACATGGGTGGTGAATTCACCTACCCCAAAATGGGATCCCATTGCTTTTGACCCACAGCCATCGATTTTCGTCCCTTGATGCTTGGGTCATAACTTGTCGGTCCCACCCTCTATGAGGCCTTCTCGATGCCTTTTGGCCAGGAAGTTGGGCAAGCATCCACTCCAAAAAGCCGCAAGGGAAACTCGGCTCCCCTGCTAAAAGTTTTAAGCTTTTTAGTGGTTTAATGGAAAATCCATCAGTTGGCAAAAAGTTAAAGTCTTAACATCGAAGCAACATGCACCAAAGCAACGACGACACCTGGGTGTTGTCTGAAAATTGGTTGGGGGGGGGTCCCGAAACATCGGCGGTTGAATATTGAAATGGTAAAGCAACCCTCCCAATTTGCGGGAAGTGCTCAAAAAGAGGCGGCTGCCTGTTGGTTCCCCTTGAAAAAACGAAAAACCCACCGGAGATTCCCCAACACAACGACACACCCTGATGATCCTGTGGATCGGTGCCCTTTTTGGAGTTGGTACCACCTTTTGTCTGGCTGTTAAACGGAAACCAAAAAAAACACCATATGTTTGTGCTGTGTGTTTGTTCTTTTGGGGGAGGTCCCTAAAAAAGGTGCGCCGATAAAAGAGTTCTGGACACTTCATTTCGTTTCAGTTTGGTTCCAAGCACCAATCAACTTGGCAGTCAGTTCTCCGCTGGCTGTTTGGGCCAACCAGGTAACCAGATCTAAAACATACTGGAAACATATGGCATAAAGACGTGAGTATGTCCCAAAGTAGCGCACCCCAAAATCGGTGGTCTCTTTTGGTTACCCTCTAGACCTAAACAGAAGGGTTCCCAAAAGGATGCTAATTTTGTCAAGCTTTCACATGCAAATGCACCCAACAGTTGAGCAACAAATCCATACGCCAGGGACTCTCGTCAGGCATTAAAGCTCCATACGAGAGCAAGAGATCATCATAAGTAAGCGACCATGAATTGGCTGCCATCTGCTCCTGGGTGGATTGGCCAAAATAAGTCCAAACGTGTTTGCCACCAAAAATGGTCTTCCCAAAAAGTATTAAGTCCAGGAACTCGGGAAGTGAGTCTGAATTCAGATGCATATTTCAGATTCACAAGTAGGGCACCTGTATTTGTGGGAGCTCGTTTTACCCCAAATCGGTGAGAGCTCGTCGTATTTTCTTAGTGCGGAAGGATTCGACCTCAACGGGCCGACAGCAAAAGTTGTGGTCAGAGCCGGTTGATCAAGTCGACCCGCTGACCGCCGAACAAAGTGTCCCCGCTACAGCCGCTTTATCTGGAGGTACCCTGGGTTGAAACTACCATTGCAACATCATCCTTTTCTTGGGGGTTGAACCGGGCTTAGTTGAATCATCTTCCCGACATGAGACAGGCGTTAGGACCTTTGACGGGAGCCCCTAGTTTCAACTCATGAAAACTATAGTTACCCATTTTCAATTATGATACTCCTGAACAGCAAAAAAATGGTGGTTACCCTGCGGGATAGACAAAGTCCACTTCGCAACGATTGGGATTGGAGGTTTCTCCCGGTTAAAGGCCATCTGGTAAGTGCGTGGAGTTTGTCCATCACTTTGATGTTTTAACCAAGTCTAAGGTGGTTACGTGGAAACCCCACTAAACCCCAACCCAACAGACCTTTCTGGGGACGGCGGCAGCCAAGTTCAAAGTGCAGATCGACATTGCCCAATTCCGTATGACCGGCGACGCGCGAGCGCTCTCGTTGCAACTTTTCCAATAACGCTCCGGGGTGAAACCGCGGCTCAACTGAGACCCCAGGTGCTAACACAAGTTATAAAGAACATAGGACCTTAGGATCCATTTATATAGGGTCTATTTAAGGACTTGGGGCCCTGACTCACACCCATGGATCCTGGTACTTTGGACCCTAAATCTATATACGCTGCTTGGAACTAAGACAGGACACGGTTTCTTCGGACTTGTTGAAAGAGAACCTATACCATGAGAGCCTACATTTCGATGAAATGAGATGATCGCCCAGAAGAACTGAGAAAGGACCTCTCACATCAAATCTCCATCTGATGGGTCCCAGTTGGCTTCCTCTCTCAGTATGGCTGGTACCTGGCAGGCGGCAAGCATGGGTTTCCCCTCAGCTAAAACCCACTTTCAGAACCTCAGGAACCGGACGGCTGGGAACCTCCAAAACCGCTCGTGGCTGTGTATCCAGTAAGTTGAGAGGTTTTTTGTGAGGTGCCCTCGTTTGGGGGAATCCTGATTTCAAGCGGCCCACACAGCACCATAGCTGGATCCTTTGAAAACCGGAGATGGGAACGGTTGTGGAGTCGCCCCCAGTTCTCGTGGGGGATTCAGGAATTTCTGCGTCACGATCCCAGATGTTGACAAGGACTGTTCAAGCTCACGCTACCATTCCCCAAATTCCAGGAATGGTAAAGCCGTTGCTCAAGAGCTTGGTTCCAAATGATCCCAAATGAGCTGTGCTAGAAGGGCCTTTGAGTGGAGCAAAAGGAAGCTGGGGTTCCCTCAGGTAGATGTCCAAAGTCTCCTCCAGTGGCCCATCTCTATATCGGGCCAACTGAAAATCGAGCTCTCTCCAGTGTTCTTTTTGAGTGGAGACATGATATTTCGCTGGGCCGAGGCGATGCTCAAAAAGCAACTGACAGAAGAAACTCTCAGGCCCCCCCCCAAAAAAAAAGAAAGCGGCATAGGAAGAACAAAACACACACACACACACAAACACACACACACACACACACACACACACACACACACACACACACACACACACACACACACACACACACACACACCCCGACACACACACACCCACACGCCCACGCCCACGCCCACGCCCACGCCCGCCCACGCCCACGCCCACGCCCACACCACACACCACACACGCCCAACACACGCACACGCACACGCACACGCACACGCACACGCACACGCACACGCACACGCACACGCACACGCACACGCACACGCACACGCACACGCACACGCACACGCACACGCACACGCGCACGCGCACGCGCACGCGCACGCGCACACGCACGCACGCACCCACACACCCACACACACACCATCTAGGGGGAAAACCAACGTCGACATCTTATTTATTAAAAAAAAGGGAAACCAAAAACAACGCCAACAAAACCCACCGGGTTTGTCCCACAAAATCCTTGCGTTCCGCGCCTGGAGGCGTTGGGATCGGTCGCCGCTTGGGCGTAGTAGCCCGGGGGCTCGCCGAAGGCACTGCCGGTGGGGGGGTAGTAACCTCAGGTCGGCTCTCCGTTTTCAGAGCGAAAAGTGGCTTTCTGGCAACTGGTGGCTGTAGCAGCCTCAGTTTTCTGGATAGGATTCGCCTCGAATCGGCGAAAAAGTGGTTGTTTCTCTTAGTGGGTAGATCTGCGAAAAGTGAAAGTCTCTGAATGGGTGAAATGGAAACCCAACCAAACCAACGCAACTCCTAAAAACCTAAGGAAGATCTGCTAAACGTGAACTTATCAAAAGTGGGTTGACTTCGAAAACCCAACCACTAAACCAACATACAGCTAAAAACACCTAAGGAATCGTATGGCTGGAAACCGTCAAGTTTTGCTAACTCATGTCCGATCGAGTGGATTGGCCAGAAAAGTACCCAAACTGTTTATTTCCCACTAAAACGGCCTTGACAAAAAGTTTGAAGTCCATGATCTCGGAAGGTGAGTTGAGGTACCCTTTTTGGGGTTGGTTCAAACGAAAAGGAGACCACCCATTTTCGGAATAGTTGAAGACATGGACATACCCACTGCTTGGGCGTGCTAACATAGCGCGGGTCCCAACAACATGCGCAGCACACGCTTGCCTGTCACAGAGACATGGGCTAGGCTGGGGTCAGGGGGGTGGCGCGGGGGGGGGGGAGGGGGAAGCCTTCACTCTTCTTGAGTTACGCCTGGGGCCTAGAGCAAGTTGGCAAATTGGAGGGAAACACTTCCTTCCTTGTTTTGGCGAGTTGTGCACGCATGGCATCGATTACCCCACAAATTTTGCGCGGCACGCTAGGCAAGCTGTGTCAGGCCAGGCACTTGCGATGCTTGCACGTCCTTTGTTGCCTTTGGGCACAGTAAGCTACAGCTTCGCACTGGCCTCATTGTCTTACCATGATCAAAGTCAGCCCCTAAGTGGTGGGTAAAGGGAAACAACCCCCATTTACTGACTTTGATAACCCCCAGAAACCGTCAAAATAATGAAACCCCAGTCGCACCTTGCAACTTTCAGTACCAAAGACGCTGCAAGCTGCAGCTTTGCACCTCGATTTTTATTTTATTTTATTTTTTGTTCGCACGGACGGGCAAACGCTGATGCCTGTAAGGTGCAGATTGCAGAGCGCCGCGTTTGGTTTCCTTGTGTTCTTTCGTTTTCGCAAAAACTGAGCGTCTCGGTTGCTGTCTGCTCCCCTGCTAACAGCTTAACTGTTAGTGGTTTAATGGAAACCCACTAGTTGGCAAAAAGTTCAAGTCCGAACATCCGTTGGCAAAATGCACCAAAGCCGTGTTAGCGTGGTTCTGTGTGACAGCTGCTCCCGGGTGCTGTTTTTTTTAATGCTAAGCCAAACAGCAGGGGCTCCTGTAGGCGTGGGGTTCCGTGTGTTTTTTGTTGAGGGTATTGTGCACTTCCATGTTAGTTGGTGGGAGAGTACCCTTACTTTCTGTTCGGCATTCTGAAGCTGAAAGGAAACAACGCCGACCGAGCATCCCACCTGCAATCTGAGAGCCGACGTCCAAGGGTTCGAGACTTCTAGTCTTCTAGTTCCTTGTAGTGTTTGCTGCGGCGGATAAACGCGTGATATATGTTTCGGCGGTGTTCGCTCCAAATTTGGCTGAATTCCCGACCAAAGGGGGACCACCCTGTTCAGATCAACCAGGGTTCCCACATCACTTCTTGGCGCACTGAGAAAAATGTGGGTGGTTCCCCGAAAGAATGGCAGTCAGCCAGAACCTACGGGGGTACAAAAGGTTGCCGCGGGTTGCCCCACCGAATCCATTGTAATGTAAGGGACGTTTTTGGGGTGTGCTCTTGCGTCTCTAATCCTGGGCCGGCCAGGTTCACCTGCTCATGACTTGCATGGCCCACGTGTTGCAGCGAAGTGGTGTCATTACTACTTCAAGCCAAGTTTCAAACGAAGCGAGAAGTATGCCAAAAAAAACACGAGTGCTTTTCAACTAAGGGGCGGGTGCCAGGAAATGGCCTTTCTTCGCCAAAAAAAGTGCGCTCTGCGCCCAAAAATGTGCGTTTTACCGGAACAAAAAGTTCTTTCTATGGGTTGTCTACGGGTTGCCTACTGTGTGTCTACGCCCTTGTTTTCTGAAGTAGACATCGGTGGAGCAAAATTGACACGGGAAGTGCTCCGCGCGCCCCGCACCGTGATTTCCCATATCAGTGGCACGAACATCATCTGCTTGGGATCTCATATCTTACTCATTCTTGGTAGTCAGTCAGTAAAGGAAGTGTGTGAAAAGCAGTGCTCAGTACGCACATGCGGCCGACAAGGGCTCTAAAAGGGGTAAAAGGGATCCTCCAAAAAATGTGCTTTGTGAACCCAAAATGTGCTCTGGGCCCATAAATGTGCTTTTTAAATGTGCTTTGGAGTTCGAGGGGAAGCCATGTGCTACCCAACTAATCAGTTTCATCATCCAGAGGCTCGGAGCACACTGGTTTCACTATTTGAAGGATTTCCCAGGTCAATCTCTGGCGACCAGGGGTACAGGAGCAGCACCCGCGTAAAAAAGCGAGAGGGTCAGACCAACACCAAAAGGGCCTGAGAAGGCAACTGCCTATTGCTTTTGCGGCCATACAAACACATCTGGAACAAGACTGCCTTTCAGTTCTTCCCATGTTTCGCGGGGTGCGAGCTTGGGCTTGTATTCCTCACCACAACTTGGTCCAAACATGGAAGTCGATAAGGGGCCGTTTCCAGAGGCTGGGCTTCATTTCTTCCACACCCTGGAAACGGCCGGCCCATGGTTTGTCTTCCAAAACCCCCTGAGGTTTCATCTCCAAAACCCTCCTGTCCCCACTTCCAGGGTTCAAAAGAGGGAAGGGTGTGCTTCTCATGGCTTGGGCTTCTCCTTTGTCTGGTCAGTTGTTGGTTCAGAAAACCTGGGAATTTCTAGGGCACTGAGTTGTTCAATCAAACATCGGCCGGTTCAAGGCGTTTGGCCCATTGGCATGTGAGAGTTGAACTCCACAAAGAGAAGCTGGTGGGAACGCTGACATTTTGGGACGACCGCTTCCCCAAAGCTTCTCAGCAACACAAATCCAGCAGAGGTGGGCAGGTCGCCGATCATCTACCAATCTACAAACGGTGCCATCCGGCACCATCTTTCCCCTAATGACTTTTTGGGGGGTTGATCAACGTATTCCGTTCGGCCCAAACTGACCGTGGGTATTTTCCCATGTGAAAGTCCAATCTCTTTTGGTAAGTTCCCCAATTTGCTTAATCGCCCCATATTTCAGGGACCTTTTCATCCATTTGCTTAAGTCCCCTGGAAAAAACAAAAATATGTCCAGTAGTGAAATCGATTCCTTTTAAAACCAACAGGGGAAATATAAAATATTCTTAACCAAATGGAACCCTTTGATCAACACCTCCATCTGTCAAAATTAGGTAGCTCCATCCCTGGCGCTCCCCGGCTCCATTGCACCATGTCGGGCAATCCCACTAGGTCCTCCAGTAGAGAGGTTAGAATAGGGGTACCCTATTTTTTTGCTGTTTTGTCTATTTTAGTAGGGGAGCCCTCCCCAAAAAAAGGGGGAGAGAAGGGCACTGGAGGACCTAGCCAGCTTGTCTCAGTTGCAACTGGCGACCTGGCAGGGAACAGAGCCAGAAAGGGAACTCCAGCGTGAAATCCACTTAACTGAACAGTAAACAAGCCCGGTGACTTCTACTTTACCATTGTTCACCAGGGGAAACAACCATCATGGTAAGAAACGCTGGTTAGCTCCCCCATGTTTCAACCGTTTCTAGGGGGGTAAGCTCAGAAACTTGGGCACCGGTTTCCCTTTATGTTAGTCTGAGCGTTTTTGTATTGCACCCTGGGATTATACCCTTGGGACATGACCCAAATGGTTCAAAATAACACGCATGTTCTCCGGACATGTGCCTAAATGTATTCAATACCCAGTGTGTGCATTCCCAGGGTGGAATACAAAAACCCTCCATGGCAAAAAATGACAAGGCCGGCCACCAAGCGTGGCCTCTGGAAGGCGCGCGCGCCGCGCATCGCTCGCCGAGGCGCCCGGAGGGTAGTAGCCCATGGACCTCGGCCCGAAGCGCGGAACGCGTTGCAGCGCGGTTAGGCTGGACCCCAGGCCCGAATCCATCGATGTGCTGTAGGGTAGCAGGGCCTTTTCATGTTTTTTTTTTTGTTTTTTTGGTTTAATTTATTATATTATTTTTTCTTGGACATGTGCTCTCTAAGATAAATATGACGGAATTTGGGCTGAAGTCCCCCACAACCCCACTGACATCACTTTTGAGGCCATTGTAGCACGCAGACGTGTGGTTTCTGGGAGAAGCAGTCGCAAGCAAAACACATTTCTACTCCGGGGTTTTGGCCGTCTTTTTGAAACGGCCAGAAGGAGCAACCAACAACAAAGAGCCAAGACCGACTCACTCACATGTTCAATAAGGTGTCTTGAATCAGGGAACCCAACAAATAGTGGGTTTGCCTTTGGTTTCTCTTCAAAACCACCCCGCAAAGAGTACCCTCAAAGAAGACACACCCCGAAGTCACCAAACTAGCTGATTCATTTTGTTCCCAACTGACATTGGAATTTGGCACAAGTTCCTATTGGTCATTTGATAGATGCGCTACATGTCACCCCTTTACAAGATGGGAGTAAATATTGACCATTTCTCATTGGCTGCAAGAACAAAAGGACCCTTGCAAGGGTAGAAACTCTCTTTGAGGCGGTCTTCTTATTTTCCCAAGGGTGGTCCAAGGGTTGAACTGTCTGGTGAATCACAAAGCAGTTGCCAAAAAGGCGAACAGTCCATCAAGTGACACCTACAGACTACGATGCCCTGAGCTGGTTCGGACCTTCAAAAATAACCTCCCTTACATATGGCTCTCAGTACTGGGGTGTTCGGCCAAGTTGGGAAACTGTTAGTAAACTAGGTTATAACCCACCTATAAGTCCCCCACGTGCAGTTGGCCCAGTTGTAAGTGGGTTAGCTTCATGACCAGTTGCTACCTTGGCCGAAAACCCAAGTACGCTTCATGCGTCCGGGCGACGGGTACGCATACCCGGGATATCCCGGCGGGTAGCCCGGCGGTGGGTAGTAGCCTCAGTGCAGATTTGCCAGAAACTCACCTCTTCGATCCAGGAAACGTTGTAGGAACATGCTATACCAATTCTCTGAACCTCCCTGGGTTCCACAAGCATGGACAAATCCAGGACCAATCACTTCCCAAACATGTTATTTCGCTTCGGTTTGCAGTTTGGGAAAGCAAACTGTGTTTTTTTGGGGAGGGACCCCCTTTTTGGTTGCTTGTTAAACGAAAACCAAAGGGAAACTCACCAATTTGGCGGTTCCCCTATTTTGAGACAGACCCACTTCTCCGGTTCGGGCCCCTTTATAAGAATGCCTGTTGATTCCTTGATGGGGGCGGAATCAAAGCCTGAGCTCAAAACAATGAACGGAACCAATAAACAAAAAGACAACTAAAATGTGACCATGGGTCAAAATCCAGTACCCTCAGTGAACATCCCAATCCCCACTAAAATAGACTAAAATGGGTGGTGCACCTACCCCAAAATGGGATCCCATTGGTTTTGACCCACAGCCATGTCATGCCAAGATCAGGAGTTCTACCTTGTGTTGCTTGATCCTTTTTTTCCGAGGCGCGGAGCCGCCCTAAGGTTGCTGAAGGAGATTGGGTTGGCCTGCCTCTCTCCACAACAGTAGACTACCAGTATGTTTGGCAGTTACTCATATGGCCATGAATTCTAACTAGGGGCCCTCTAGTGGACATCTTTCGGGCAGGAAGTTATGTCCACCAACCTCTTTTGAGGTGGTTCAAACTCTTAAACTTGGTTTCGGTCGCTTTGGTTTCGATGCCTTTGGTCCCGGGAGGAAACTGAGTCTCGACCCCTGGGCGGTGAAAAACATGAGCGTCCCAAACGGATCATAGACATGGGTCTGCCTCGAAATAGGGAAGCCCTGTTTGGCTCAACTGGAGTCCCGAAAAATATGGAGAAACGCCGATCAGCCTCTTTTTTGGGCGTCCCTATGAGGGAAACTAGGGTAATTATCCTACCGTTTTTTCCAGTACAGCCCGAGTGCCCGGAACCCCACATCTTACTTGGAGACAAAGCCGTAGTGCCCTTCACCCGTTGACTTTCTTATATGAGCCTGACTACACCCCCAATGAAACCATGCAGCTCTCTTTCGCATTTGACAGGAAACTTCAAGAGGAAAGAGGCCACCAGGCCAGACATGAATCCACAGATCCAGGAGGCCTTTGGAGAATGGGGAAGAGGGAGAGTTTTTGAACCCATGGACAAAAAATCCACACCCATCGGCGTGGATTTGGGATGGATCAAAACTCGCACACTGGTACATCAACCCTACCCGCTGGTGATCCTTTTGCGGATGTCGTCCACCCATAGATCATCTCGCCGCAGAATCGACTGTGCCGCCAACAACCACCTCCTTCCCGTGCGAGTTCCCAGACCCAACTAGGGTTAAAGGGAAACAACCAGGAAGACTATCTTCAAAACAAATATCAATCTGCACATTACCCCAAAAAAGATGGTTTCCTTTTTCTCGATGGCAAATGTGTAGAATCTTTTCAGGAGCCCTACACTTTAGACCACACATTCGGTTGAGCATGAGGTTGCGCACCAAGTCCAGGGCTGTGAAATCAAGGAATCAGCAACGTTCCACATGGGTTTCTTCCGCGTGACGTCTCCCCACATATCCTCACAAGGGGACAAATGCACACACAAGACATCAAGCACTGGCTGTTCTCAGATCCCCTGCTAAACGCTTTTTAGATTTTCACGGGTTAGATGGAAACCCAACCACCACCTAAAGAGAAGCTAAACAAGGAACCGGATGGGTGGAACCTCCAAGAGTATCTGGAGTCACCATGACCCTTCCGCGGGCATCTAGGTAGGTTGATATACTGTACATCAACCGCTTGGACGGCGCGACAACTGTCTCCTAGGAGCTCCATTTCATGGAAGGTAGACTGAGGTAGACTGGAATATCGGGAGGTGGAGGTTCCCCGAAAATGCCGCTGGGCCCGGATTTTCGGACTCTGCCTCATATTCGGTCCACCTGAACATTTCAACCAAAACTTTGGCAACATACAAATATCCTACGGTGCGATCCGGCCCAAGAAGCCAGCCACTCGTTGTGTGACAAGTCAAAAGAGGAATCGGAATTCTCAAATGGCTGGTTGGTCTAAAAAGTTGGTTGGTTGGTTGGTTGGTTGGTTGGTTGGTTGGTTGGTTGGTTGGTTGGTTGGTTGGTTGGTTGGTTGGTTGGTTGGTTGGTTGGTTGGTTGGTTGGTTGGTTGGTTGGTTGGTTGGTTGGTTGGTTGGTTGGTTGGTTGGTTGGTTGGTTGGTTGGTTGGTTGGTTGGTTGGTTGGTTGGTTGGTTGGTTGGTTGGTTGGTTGGTTGGTTGGTTGGTTGGTTGGTTGGTTGGTTGGTTGGTTGGTTGGTTGGTTGGTTGGTTGGTGGTTGGTTGGTTCTTTGGACCAGCCCCAAGAGGAGTACCCTCCACACCCGGCCCATGTCGCCTTCAGGTCCATGGAACAACCCCGGCTCGCCTTTTTCCGAGCGCCAGGCCCGGGGGAGGGTAGTAGCCCCCCATGGGCGGCGCGTGCTGGATGTTCTTCTTGTGGAAATGCCTGGACTTCTTTCCAACCCCTTGGCAGAGTTTGCCAGCCTGAAGCCGACTTCTTTTTGCCTTCAGCCCACAAATGAAACGGACCAAAGAAAAAGACCAAGCATACATGCCAAGAGAAGACTTACCTAGGTCCTCCAGTAGAGAGATTAGAATAAGGGTGCCAACTTTTTTCTGTAGTCTATTTTAGTAGGGGAACCCTCCCCCCAAAAAAGGGGAGAGAAGGGCACGACTGGGGGACCTAGTTACTTTCAATCACTTGATTCCCAGCCATAGGGATGGACCAAATCCGAACTCCCGATCTCAGGGCTTAGAGTTGCTTGGGCTTCCTTCGCTGGCCTGTCCGCTTTCAGATCGGCTAGAAGCTTAACTTGTGGGTCAAGTCGAAGCCCAACCCAGCAACTAACAACCTCACCTAAGGAACCGGAGGTCTGGGAAACGAGTTAGGGTTCCGATTTTCAGGTGAGAAGGGTCCCTTGCTTGAAGGGGCAGGGTACTTCGTAGGTTAGTAAGCCTGGTAGACCACCTACCGTGGTTACAAGTCTCCCAAGTAGGTTTTCACCAGGCTTACCTTCCATGTGCTCAGGGTCCTGGAAAAAATAGAAAAAACAATGTCCAGTAGTGAAATCCATTCCCTTGGAAACCAACAGGGGAAAAAAGCACATGAACGTTGTATGGCTTTGGGTCAAAAGCCAAAATCGTACCCCCAGTGAACCTCCCAATCCAACCACTAAAACAGGAAGCCTAAAATGGGTGGTGAATTCACCCACCAAACAAAATGGGATCCGATCCAAAACGGTTTTGACCCACCCACTGCCATATACTCGTCACCTACCTGACGTACCCGTCTTCGCTTTAGCTGGACACTTGCGCGCTCACGTCCGGCCTGGCCACAGCCCGGCGGACCAGGTCGTCCCGCTCCTCCTGAGGGTCGACGCCAAGCTCAGAGTTCTAGGGGCTGATTCCAAGCACTGCTCTTCCACTGTTTCGGGCATCGAGTCGCATCGCAACGCAGCTGAAGCATGAATTGTAAAGCCGCTGACCCCTGATTCCAACCATTCTTCTCAACCATCGATCTTTTCAAAAAAACAAAAAAAAAACAGCTGTTTCCCCAGGGTTTTGGGTGGCGTTTTAGAAAGAAGGATGCCTGGAAAGAATGGGGAACTCAAAACTTTGTTGTGGTTGACCCCTCTGCAAAAAGTGAAAACCTTTTGTGGGGTTAGTGGAAAACCCCTTGATTTCAACCAAAACGTTCAGGTCTAAAGATCCAACCCAATAGCAGACAAGAATCTTGGGGGCCCCATTGCTATCAAGCAGCGGCCCAGGTTCGCAATTGGTTTATATGACTCAGGTTGCCCTTAGCTGGTGGCTTGGATTGGTGGTTTGCGGACTTGAAACCCTGGTTCTTGTACAGAATACATGAGACACCCCAGAACACCTCCGAACCACCAGTCCAAACCACCAGTCCTGGGCTGAACCTCGCAGCCCCGCAAAAGGCCAGGCGTGGGTAACCCTGTGGGCTTTCACCTAAACACCTCTTGGCATTGGTCAAACTCAGGGCCCTCTTTTGGTGTCCCCGGTGTGCCAAAGGGTGCCATAATGTTGCGACCGCCCTTACTTGGAAAGAGAAAGTTTGCAAAATGAATGCTACCGTAGCCTTAGAGAGATGCTCTTGGCAGGTGTTAAGAGGGACAACAGAAATCCGTTCATTTGCCGTGATTTGGAGGTGGCTTGCCGAAAGCCTGGCGTGCATCCCCTCTCGCAGGCATCATATCGCCAGAATTGTGGGCGTTGGCCCGGGGTTACAAGGGGTATGCAAAGCCCTTCGACACGTGATCGATGTTGGACCATTCCACCTTTTACAGGGGTCGCAAAAGGATCCAACCAAAATAAATTCATTTAAAACTGGAACGAACCTCAAATGGGTCCACTTTTGAGGGTACCCTTTCTGGTTGGCCTTTCAGGGAAACTGAAAGGAACACCGAAGTCATTTTGGGAGGTTCGATTCCTAAAAAACTGACACACCTAAATGAAGCATATGGACACAACTTCCTTCCGCAAAGGACACGGGACAATTCGGTGTCCCAGGGTTTTTGTTGGATATTTGGGCCATTTAGCCCCTGACACGTGAGTCAAAACCTGGTTCTGACTCGGGATCAGAAGGGTCAACCAGGAGTTACTGGATTTCCAATCCAAAGCTGGTCAAGTTACTGGTTGCCATTGAAATGATCGCCTTTTGGAGGGTTGGCTCGGAGACCCTGTCAAAAGGTATGATAGATTACTCCAAACAGGAAAGAAGAATTGGACCCGCACCCACATCGAATCCGTGATCGTTACCCCGAATCGGTGAGCTCGAAACCCAGAGGTAGAGACATATGATTGGGACTATCCCTCACTTCTCTTCTACCCGGGTCTGATTCTGCCTGGTCCGACCCCTTGCAAAAAAAGAGGTTGAATTGGACAATCGCAAGCGTTTTGCTTACCTACTGTGGATGGACAAAATCCCGCACCACTTTGAAACCATGGTTGAAACCATAACGTTTGTTGGTGTTTACGTTTGGGAATCGTATCATTCCAGGGTGTCTTAGGTGGCGCCTAAGAGGATTTCGCAACCATCCCCAGTCTGGCCATGGTGGCCGTCCTGCCTCTGCCATAGACCGCCGATCGGTGGCCTTTTTGACATCCAATGGCCGCCTGGCGCGCCCATTGGCAAGTGGCTCTGCTCCTTTTCCACGACGAAGAAGTGGCTGTGGCTCAAAAAAACGGTACCAAAATGGAACCCTGGCAAGTGGAAACATGGACCAAAACCTGCGTAACCCCTCCTGTTTAATTTTGCGCCACACCCAAGTGGCAAAAATCAACTTCCATTTGGTTAAGACCCCTGGAAAAAATGAAATTATTTCCAGTAGTGATAGATTCACTTTAAAACCAACTGGGGAAATAAAACATAGCCTTAAGCAAATGGAAGATAAGGTGGGAACCGTGACCCCAAGATGGCTTCGATTCTTCTGATTTCCCTCTACACCACCCGGAAAAAAAATCCACAGCCAGTGGATCAAACCCGCACCCCTCTGTTTTTCTTTACTTGCCAATCAATCTGCATTTGTTCATCTCAAAGCCTGAAGTAGCTGTGACCCCGCCAAGCAAGGAACCTTCATATTGCGTTGCTCTTCCCCCGCGGAGGCAAACGAAACGGGTCGTACCTTAGGCGTGATAGCGTGATGCCCTTTGCTTCTAGGGTTGATTCCCCAGTCTGTTCAACCATCGTTCTTTTCAAACACCAGCTGTTTCCCCCCTCTGCAAAAAGTGAAAACCTTTTGTGGGGTTAGTGGAAAACCCCTTGATTTCAACCAAAACGTTCAGGTTTTGGGCGTTTTGTTTTTGAAAGAAGGATGCCTGGAAAGAATGGAAATGGAAGGTACCCCTGGATTTGTTTCCAAACGGTCTCAGGGGCTAAGGTCACACCAAAGACTAGCCATGACACTGCGAACAAAATCCTGCACCTGGGATGGATGAATCCCTGAAATTATTGGGATAAACAACCTACCCGCTGACTGGTGAGTGGCGCGGATTTCGTCCATCCAAAGCAAGGAACCTTCGTGTTCTCGCATTCTATGCTCTCGACACTGCTTTCACCCAGCTCCCCTGTAGGACCTAATATGCCTTCTCAGCATAATTTAAGGGGCGAAGTAAGTTCTGGGGTCGACCCACGACCATGAAGAACCGAAAAGGGCGGTGGCACCTATTTTACGGTTGCGGCCAAGCTAGTGACCTTCATCTACCCAGGCTTTGATATGGCTCCCCCAAACACCGCGCCCCGAAACCTCCAAACCTGCCTCTGGAACAGGACGCGCTCCTCCTCCAGTACTCTGGATGCCCCCTCCTTCGTGGCGAAGTGGATGAAGCCTTGGATCGGACGCACCCACTCTGAACCACCCTCAGCTTTTTTGCGACCCCCAAAATAAGAGGTTTGATGCTGGCCCGTACCTGAGGTCTTAAGCATTTAGATATGCTTAGACATGCTGAGTCAACCTTGAAATTGCACGATACTTTCAAAGGAGATCCTACCACCGGATTGCTGCTGAACAGCCCAGAAACATAGAAAAATGCGCACACGCTTGCGCAGGCATGCCTGCCAATTTGCAGTTTGCATGTGAGCAATGTCTCGATGATGTCCTTGCCACACCAATGACACGGCAAATGCCCCAAAACACGGGGAACATGGCGTTGATCGCATTCGGCTGAGACAGCTGGAATTTATATGTGGGCTTTGAAGCAAAGGAATAAGACAGACCCTCAAACCAGTCGACGTGGACCCATAGGGCCCTTCATGAAAAGCGAAGGCCCACTCAGGCTCCAAAACGCTGGTCCATCACCCCAACGGAAGCTCAAACGCCAAAAGGCGATGCTTAAACCACTCCCAAGGGGAATAGAGCTGGATGTCTGCCAAAAAATTATCGCAGCACCCAACGTGTGCAAGCTGACTGTTGGGTCTGCAAAACTGGGACTGCGGGTCCTTGGGTATTGGAGACCCCGTCTGCACTTAGAATTAGTCGCTCCTCAAGAAAAGACTGAGAAAATGGACAGCCGGAGGCCAAACTGCCAAGCTCACTGCACCGGACGGGCTCACTGCCGAGGCGCCCCAATTCGCCTTGTCCCGGTAAACCAGCGCGACCTCGCCACTGTTCCGAGCAGGGGACAGGGCTCCCCACATGTCTGTCTAGTGGCAAAAAGATGGCCCACTGCCTGAGACGATGGTCCAACAAAAAGCCCAGACTAGTGGTTGGTTTGACACCAAAATGGTCTTGCCAAATAATTTAAAGTCTAGGAACTCAGGATGTAGTTTCCACTGGCGTGGCCGGATTGGACAATGGGCCGTGATACAACCACTATGCAGCCGCCATCATATGGCTGTGGGTCAAACATGGTTGAGGTGTTTTTTTGTTTACTAGCCCCGGCTTTTTACTAGCCCCGGCTCGGCACATATGGGGCATGACTTGATGCTCGGGATAGCCGGCCGCATCGCCAGCATTACTGGCCTCACTCGGACGAGAACTGCCTACTGGCTTTGGTTTGGTGGCAGTTCAGGGTTGATCGGGGCTGGTTTGGGGTGAGTGCTGGGCTTGCTGAGATATTAATGCGGGCGGGTCTTGGGTTTGTTTAGGGTTCATTTAGCCTCGGCAAAGGGCCGATATGCAGGATGCGGTTGGGAGGGTTTCAGGTTGACTTTGGGTCGGTTTTGGCTTGGTTGGGGCTGATTCGCGCTAGATGTGCGGCTGGTTTAGGCGTGGCTTTCGGGTTGCTTCAGGGATGTGGTTCTGCAAGTTTTGGGCTGGTTTGGGATTGGTTGTGGGGCGTTGCCCCAAACCACCAATCCTAGCCCAAAACTTGCAGAACCACATCCCTGAAGCAACCCGAAAGCCAAAACCAGCCCATCTAGCACGAATCAGCCCCAACCAAGCCAAAACCGACCCAAAGTCAACCTCAAACCCTCCCAACCGCATCCTGCATATCGGCCCTTTGCCGAGGCTAAATGAACCCTAAACAAACCCAAGACCCGCCCGCATTAATATCTCAGCAAGCCCAGCACTCACCCCAAACCAGCCCCGATCAACCCTGAACTGCCACCAAACCAAAGCCAATAGGCAGCTCTCGTCCGAGTGAGGCCAGTAATGCTGGCGATGCGGCCGGCTATCCCGAGCATCAAGTCATGCCCCATACGCAGCCGTGACAAGAAACCGGAAATGCTGGGCATGCTGGGGATGCGGCCGCCCAGCCAACCAACCAACCAACCAACCAACCAACCAACCAACCAACCAACCAACCAACCAACCAACCAACGAGTCTCCGAGCCGGGGTTCAGCCCCGAGCCGGGGCTAGTAAAAAAACAAACACCGGTTCCGTCAAACATATGTACCCAAAATGGAACCCTGGTAAATGAAAACTTGGACTAAAACCTGCGGTCCCCTGGTGGTTTAATTTTGACCCACACCCATATTGAGGGGAGTGTTTTTTGCCAGCTCTGAACGGGGGGTTCCACCTCAGTTCTTTCGACGTTCGGGCCAAGAGGTCTTGGGGGTAGGTCAGTTTGGGCTGGGGAACCAGCATGTCTCTGAAACCTCCTTAATCATTTGGAGCCAAACATTTGCCAACTGCCTGCCTCCAGATCTCAGGTGAAATCTGCGTCCGAACTTCGGACGTGGGGTGGCAGAACTTGGGATGTGTCCGTGCATTTCCCATCCCCTTAGGCTGACTTGACCTTCAAATATCCCAAATGGCCATGGGTCAATCTCCAAATCGTACCCCCAGTGAACATCCAAATCCCCGCTAAAATGGGCTCTAAAATGGGCGGTGAATTCACCTACCCCAACATGGGATCCCAATTAAATGGAGGGCCGGCCAACCTTCCCTGGAAGGAAGCCACAGAGAGAACCCGTGTTGCAACCCGGAAGAGGGCTTTGTCCCTTCGCCTGCTCCCTATCACCTGGGCGAACCAAAGTGCAATGCTCGGATAGTGAATGACAATCAGTTAGCACATCCAATACGTACAGTTAGCATCTATATCTAGAAATGGGAAAGCTACAACTGGAAGGTCCTGGTGCCAACTGATTGTCACTCGCTATTTGTATCATATTTAACCACCTTGAAGTTACAAAATGTGTTCTCAGAACATCCCAGGTCACTCCATCAACAGGAAGCGTAATTACTTGGTTGCTGTAACGACCCCCCTTCGAAAAGTTCAACTTTTTTCCTTTTTTTTTTGGGGGGGGGGTTAGTGGAAAACCCGACTTGATTTCAACCAAAAAGTTGAAGTCTAAAGATCCAACCCAATAGCAGTCAAGAATTCTGACTCTTGCATCCCTGCCTTTCCGGTTTGTGATCGAACTGCCTTGCCCCCATCCTCCCTCCCCGATCGACTGGCAATAGCACTCCCTCACTGGCCATGGGAAAAGGGCGCCCTGTTTGGGGGTGGTTGATATCAACCAAAAAGAAGCAGTTGAAAACACAGTAGATGAAAACACAGTGGTTGAACCGGTAGGTGAGAAAACCCAGTAGTTGCCTCTCAACCAGTAGTTGAAACACTCCTTCCAAAAAAAGCCAAGCAACCCACTTGAGGTCTGGGCAAGTGAAACAGACTCTGGGGTGTTCAAAATGGAGGGCTGGCTTTGGCACATCTCATGTTTCGTGTTCGGGAAGCCACAACCCAAGGGATGGGTATGCCACATGCCTCCTGAAAAAGGAGTGCCGGGTTTGCAGTCTGGCGGGTCAAAAATAGCACCCGACCTGGGAACCCAGGACTAAATAGAGCCAAGGACTAAAACCTGGGGTTTCGTGGTGGTAGCCACCCCTATCCCACAAGCCAAACCCTGCCCTAAACTGTTGGTGGCGCAATTCTGGTGGTGCAACTTTGACCCAAACCCACATGGAAACCACCCATCGGAAAGGCCGTAGCCCACGAGACCAAAACAAAAGACATGTATATGTTCTGAGCAAAGGCGCTAAGCCCCACTGGGAGAAGAAGTCCCCGATCTCCTCCTCGTTGTCCCTCTCGTTGATGCCTGAAAAGCTCCCCCCCTCAGTCCCACCCGGGGAACCCTAAACCCAGAGACTCCCTTCAGGCGCCATTGCGGGAAAAAAAAAAGAGACACGTCGGCCCGGCCCTTCCGGACACGTTCCTTAAGGGCAAAATGGGCTCAGGGCTCCCTTTCTTCACGGCACTCCATAGATTCAGTGGGCCCAAACGCTCCGCAAAGGAGTTGGAAACATCTGTAGACATGCGACCTGGCGCCTATGTTTACCCAACCTCAGTGCTGGTCTTCCTTGCTCTTCCTGGTTTCTTCCTGCGCTTGAAGCTGCTACACAAATCGTGCAACATACCTGTTGAGCATACCCTGGAACCTCACATTCATGATTCCGCTTCTTCGGACAAGTCTCCAAGAGGCCTCACGCAGCCATTCGTGGCTTGTGAGGGACCCTGTGCATTCGTGGCAAGTGGTGCAAGCCTGCGCAAAGCTTTAGACGAGGCACCAGGTCAAAATTTCCCTTCCCCCTCCTTGTGGAAAGTTTAGGGAGGTTCCCCATGCCCGTTCCCAAATAGCATGGACTGGACATTTTGACCAAACCTCAGAAAAGGAGAGTGGCTGCATGGCTGCGTGCCGGCAAAATTGGCTCAAAAGTGTGCTTCCGAACCCGTGCCCTCGATTTGACGCGCGCCAAGTTGCTTCGAATGGCACCATGCGAAGGTTGCGCTACGGTCAAAAGACATTTGGCCCGCAGAGACATGATTAAATCCTGGGCACGTGAGCGAAATACTTTTTTTGCAGCCACCCCCTATAAATGAAAAGTACCCCAAACTAAAAAAAACACACACACACACAAACACACAAACACACACATGCCAAGATCAGTGTTGCTCAAATGGGTGATTTCTCGTTTGGCTGCTTTGCGGGGAATGCCCATCACGAGTGTTGTACATCCCTTCGCTTTACACAAGTTGTTTGCCTCTTCAGGGAGCGCCGCTCTTTCCAAGACTCATACGCCCCTTCAAGGCTATCATCATAAGCCTTACATACATACCTTAGTGGTTCATGGATCCCTTGCTGAAAGTCAAAGCTTTTGCGGGCGTTGGCATAAATCCCCCCTTCTTATCTAAGAGTCCATTGGAAGTCTAAGGGTATGGCTGGGAACCGCCAAGATACAAAGAGGCGTCCAACTTTTCCGCGATATTCGCCTTAACCTTCCCAACTGGTGCCCAGGAAACCGACCATTGCAACTTCACTGGTGGCAATCCCCTCACTCCAGTGCAGAAAAACCGATGCCTCGAGCATTGTGTTGGGAGATTCCTCTAAGAATGTTTTCTGGTTTCCATATTACAATTTGGGAGGATTGTATCTCGGCGTCCCTCTTAGTGGTTTGGATGGAGGTCAGGGGCGGTTCCCATTTAGCCTCTACAAGAACCAGGGGTTCAAATCCCCAAGCCACCAATCCAAATGACCAACTGCCTGGGGAGCCATGGTTGCCGAAGTATCAACAAACTCTTGCTTTTGACAGGGATCCAGATCCGACCACTCAAACAGGGACACCCAATGAGCCAAACATCAAGAACCAATGGCTGTCCATTCTCCCCTCCTCCCTCCAAGGCATTTAGCTCTTCCCTCCCTGCACAAGCGGCGAAACCCCATCCATTCCTCTGAACCATCGTTCTTTTCAACAAGTCGTATTGCCCTGAGTTTTTATGGTGGGTTTCTGAAAAAGAAGAAGAAGAACAGATCCTGGGTTCAGAATGCTTGGAAGCTTTGCCTAGACTCGAGATGCTCTCTGCAGAATGAACCATATGCCTACTTCATTTGGACCAACCCTCAGCGACACATGCTCATTCAGCTCGCCCCGAAGAAAAGATCATCAAAGCCAGGAAGACCCCTGGAGGGTTGGAAAATTGGCAAAGGAAAGCAAGCGGAGCTCATGTACCAATCTACACCGACTGTGGATGGACGAAATCCTGCACCAGCTTGAAACACCCCCCACCCCCCTCCGAAAAACTGTCCCATCGAGGTGCCGCCAACAAAGACCTTGCAGGGATCACCCAACCTCGGATGCCCGCACGCGGCGGCCGGGGGGTTAGGGGGGTGGGGGAGTGGGGGAGTGGGGGAGTGGGGGAGTGGGGGAGCGGGGGAGCGGGGGAGCGGGGGAGTGGGGGAGTGGGGTAGTCGGGGAGGGGGGGAGTGGGGGCGAGCTCTTTTCATACCCTTAAGGATAACCCTGCTTCAAGAAAGCACGCCAGCTGAGCCTGTTGCTAGACTATCTCTGGATCTGGCCACAGAATCTGTGTCATCTGTCAACACTGAATACTTTGCACAATAAAATGCCTTCAACTGCCATTCCGGACATCTCATGCTTTTTGAAGAGTCCATAACCTATACAAGAAATATGTCACTGACTCACTTTCTCCATTCAGGATAGGAAAACCCCGGACACCGTCTGCGGTGATCCAATTCGCTTTGACGCGTACACAGATATACCCCCACGCCTATTTCATGGAAAATGCCCACAAACCTTGCAAACAGAATTGCATTATGTTTCATTCCGAAACCTGGAAAAAGACTTTGCTCCCAACTAAATGGTGAGCTTCCTTTTACCCAAGTGAGCTCGCCCTAAAACTTGCTGAAAGATCCTCTTTGCCGGGCTCGAGAGCTTCCACGGAATCGCCGTTGCTCATTCGTTCTCCCACCTCTGTCTTCACCAAAATCCGGCAAGGGAGAGAAGAGGTGGGACAAAAGAAAGGAATGATAGACAGATAATATGATTTCCTGCACACTTGGAGCTGTGAAGAGATGGAGGAGATGATGGGAGCGACTCTGTGAAAGGTAAGCTTCTCCTTGTAAAAGCCAGAATCTCCGTCCCTATCCATCATTCCCGTAACGAATGTGGGTGAGGGCGAAGGGGCTTCTGTTGAATGCAGTTAATCCATCCAAACAGCGAGTGAAGTGAGAGAAATGAGAGAGGAGGAAGAGATGTGAAGTGATTCTCCCGCCCGCGCTCTCGCTTCCTTCCCCTCCCATCTCTTCGCCAAGCTGCCCATGGTCTTTGCCGCTGTCCTCGGGCTGAACACAAGCGGGCTGGTTCGATCGGGGAATGTGACATGGAGTGACCCCGAAATAAAATCCGTCCCCTATGGTTTCCTTTCAGAGAATTCCTAACTTCATTCCAAAAAATCCTGGGTCAGCCGCGCGAGAAAGTCCATCCATCCCATGGCTTCCAAAGCGGTTCATTCCAAAAACCCCGGACTCGGAAGGTCATTCCAGGTCATTCCCTACCTACTGAACACCAGCAATAGAAACGCCCAAAGGAAAGTGCCGCCAGAGCCGAAGGTGCGGACAGATGCACCCAGACCGGGTGGAGTTCAAGGGTTTCCCTTGTAGCAAAGCAGAAAATTTTCACCCCATGGGCGGTTTCCTGTGGCTTCCGCGCAAAACCCCTCCGACGGGTCAGAGACACACCCAGTTGAGGTCGTTCGGAAAGGAACGTCCGAGCAGCACCTCCGTGTCAGGTCCTTTCAAAGTGCGCAAGTTCGACCAACTCATATTAGGGCCCGGGAGAGGGCCACGGTCCCCAAAAGAAGGGAGACTCCTCGAGGCGTCAATCTGGGGTTCTGGAAACTTTAGGCTTCTCAGTCCCTAATGGGCGAAGGGAAACCAAATGGCGACAAGGCAGCCGTTCCGTGGTCCTTGTGTGCTCTTGTTCATTTATTCGTATATCTGTTGTATTGAACTTGTTGCGGGGGACGAACTTATCTGGCAGGATTCTGCTCCGTCAACTTATAGTTCAGGCTTCTAGGGTGCTTTGAACCCAAAAAATGCGTCGTGATTGGAGGAACCAGATATTAGATTATTCATGTCGCCCCTTATATAACCCTCAAACACACATTCGTACATACATGAAGTTGCAAAGGGGCAGTTCCCTCCCTCCCTCCCTCCAGATCCCTCCCTCCCTCCCTCCCTCCAGATCCCTCCCTCCCTCCAAATCCCTCCCTCCCTCCAGATCCCTCCCCTTGTAATGTTGATCACGGATTAATAAACCCCTGGTTGATTTTGATCGGGGGGCTATAGGGTGGCCCCCTGGAGTGGGGCTGACCACTTTTGATCTGGCCCCCGCCCGCCGAATAGGACGGGTTCGACTTGGATCCGGGGTCCATAGTCACTTTGTCCAGCGATCAACTTGGATGACCTCTCCTTGCAAACATTTGGACCGTGGCCCATCGCCTATCTGGGCCTATCGACCCCCAAAACGCTTCCAGCCGGGGGGGGGGGAAAAGACAACAACCTCGCAAAAACCAGAGAGCGAGAGAGAGAGAGAGAGAGAGAGAGAGAGAGAAAGAGAGAGACAAACCTCAAACCTCTGAACCAAAACAGGGAGAGAAAGAAACCAACCTCGAACCACTGAGGTTCACTCCATTTGACTTCTTTTTCCGGTAGCAGATGTTTTCGTCGCCAAGAGGCCCAGCCCTTCTTGGCCGCGAAGCTCATGGTCAGCGGCCTTGAGGCCCCGGGGAAGTTCTGCGTGTCCTCGATCGAGCGCTCACGCCAAGCTCCAGCCCGAGCCCGATTCGGCCCATGCGCTTTTGGTGTGGCGAAATACCATAGATACATCCGTTGTTATTGTTCCCCAAGGGCGGAAAAGGGTACCCTCCAAAAAGTTGCTCCGCTGTTGGTGTGGCAAAAAACCTTGGATACCCTCCCTTCCACTAACATGGCGCCTCTGGGAGGTTTCCTCTCCAAGGGGCCCCATGTCCGGTGCTATGCTAGTTGGAGGCGGGGGTACATCCATGGTTCCCCAAGCGAAGAAAAGGGTACCCTCCCAAAAATTGTCGCGCCAGAGGTTGGGCAGGGATAGGGTTTTGGCCGAAGGCTGGGGTCTTGAAGCCAACCTCCAGACGGCAATACCTCACGTTCAGAGCAAAACCGCTACTTCAGGGACCGAACTCGCGCCATTGAAATTCACCCAACTGTAATCAGAGGCATGTTATCAATAATCCACTTGGGCGTGGCTCAAAACTAAGGAGCTAGGGTCACGCAGGTTTTGGTCGTTCCATTTGCCAAGGTGTGATTTTTGCTGCATTTCTCTGAGCCGCAGCCACTTCAGGGAACATGCAGCTCATGAACAGGAGCCGGTGTGAGTGCCAGGTCCCAAACACGACGTTCAAGACCTGCTGCCCGGGAGCGACGACTGCGCAGTCGGCGTCCGCAGCAAATCTGAAGGTGACCTGAGCTGCAACATGCTGTTTACCCACAGCCTTCCAGCATTACTGTACAGTTGTATGAAGGAAACCACTTAGAGCGCAAAAGGGCAACAGGCTTGTTAAGTCGGGGTTCTTATATCATCCAGCTGAACATCACCCCAAACATCATGGTGTCCTTTTGGCGCTGGTGGAAAAGGCAACGGCTCAAACGCCCAAGCTGATTCGTTTAAGGAGCCTCCACAGTTTTCCAGTGGCACTCCAGAAGAAGGCTCACTTCACTTGGCCCCACAGGACGATGTTTAACTTCCATTTGGTTAAGACCCAGATGAAAAAAAATTAGACACATTTCCAGTAGTGATAGATTCCCTTTAAAACCCAACAGGGGGAAGCAAAAACAAAAAACATTTCAGCAAATGGAAGTTCACCCCTCCCGCTGCCGGGACTCGATGCATTCAAGCCGCGAAGGCATAAGGCGCCTTCTTCTCCTCTTTGGGCGGGCAGACTGTGACGCTCTCCACGTGGCCATACCTGCGTGAGCCGTAGCGGTTGCCGCATTTCATCAGAAACCCCCAAGGTAAAATGGGTGTGGCTCAAAGTTAAACAGGAGGGGCAAACCGCAGGGTTTGGTCCATGTTTCCATTTGCCAGGGCAAGCCATTTTGGTACCCGCTTTTTGAGCCACAGCCAATTCCCTTCTTGATACCTGTGCTCCCTCGGGGGATGTGTTTGGTATCACACAAAGTTGCAACCACGCCTCTTTTCCGACTCATTTGGCCATGGGTCAAAATCCCAATCCCCACTAAAATAGACTAAAATGGGCGGTGCACCTACCCCAAAATGGTACCATTGGCTTTGACCCACAGCCATTTGTTGTCTGCGACTCACCAGGCTTGTGGCAGTTTGGGAGTTCGCATTTGGCCAGTGCTGAGATCCACCTAAGCTATGACCCCACACAAACAAGTCCGAAGTCCTCTTGGAAGTGAACCCTGCTGATTCTGTCGCATCAAAATTCATGGCGTTCGACCCACCAGCCTCAGAGTGTCGGCTGTTCCGTCAACCAATCCGCTCCAACCGGTCACAGGCGACCCTGCCCTCCGAGAACCTTCCCTTTTTCGCTGCTAAATCCTCGGGTTCGCGTTTTCTTTCTGTTTCACATGGTCCAACAGGATTCCCAGGTTTGATCCCAATTGGACAAAACCCCACAACGCGACTCTTGGCGCGAACTCAGACCTGAGACCTTTGACTATCGGTGGTTTCGCTGACATGGGAAAACTAGGTGTTTTGGAAATCGAGTGATGGATGGAGCTGTACGAATGACTCGCGCCCAAAGTTGGATTTTGAGGAAACGTGGACATATCCTGTTGGGAGTGTCTCAAAATAGAAGAACTCAACAAGTGGCTTTTTCTTGGTTTCCTTTGTGTTCGATTGCTGTGTTTCAGGGAACCCCTGAAAGAAGAGACGCTCGAGTTCAAGGCTATCGTTGATTTGTTTTCTGTCCATTCTTCCAAGACCTGGCAACAAACCCACAGAGAGACATAAGCAGAAGTCTGCGCAAAACAAAAAAAAGAAGGACTGATCTGCCAAAAGACACGAAAGTGTTTGGTTGCGGGTCAAACCTGAGGTGCCGGTTTGTTGATGGTTACCACTCCACTGTTGTCTTGGGTGTTCACCGGACCGGAACTTTTGACCGATCGCCATTTCACCGTGGCCGAAATAATCCCCTTGAGGGGTCTCGCTACGTCAGCTCGTCGGTGTATTCACCGGAAGCTCGGAAGCTTGGTAAGCAAAGCTCTGGAAACTAAGCTTGCTGTTTCATTTCCTCACTCCAGCTTTACCTGTCAGTGTTAGAGAAATAGACAGATGGAGGGCAATGAGTCAGTGGGAAGCCCGTCTCCATATCTTGCCCCTTTGTTCTTCTCCCTCCATTCCTTGACCTCTTCGATGCTTGACAGCAAAATACCGGAAACCAACAAGCGCAGGATTGATTTATCTGCACCAACTATTCTGCTTCACCATGTTTTCAGGAACTTCAGCTAAGCCCCAGTCCATCTAGGGATCTTCATGGGTTGAAAAAAACAATCACAATTTGGAAGACCCAAGGTCGAAAGATCTGGCTTGGATTGCTGGGAGTTTCCTAAATGGATACACAAGGCAAAAGACACTTAGAGGGCGTACAACCAAGGTTACCAACCATCCAAGTACCTTCCTTTGTAGGTTCCATAAACATTTGTGCATTTCTCAAACCAATCCAAACCACCAATCAAACCCTGGTTGCTTAGTGGCCAGGGTCTGAAAAGGACACCCCATGTTGCTTGCTCGCAACGTGGGTAAAACGCGCTGCAACCGGGAGATGACTTGACCAAGTTCCGCCGGCTCAGAACGTCTGAGTTCTCAGACGGGGCTCCCTAGATTTCTTAACTAACATCATCACCCCGCCAGAAGGACATACTCTCGTCGAACTGGCCTTTCCAAAAGAGATTTCAAGGAGAAACGGAAACTCACCTACACGCTTAACTCGGTGCAAGTGATATGTAAGCAGGTTTGTCTTGAAATCGGGGACACCTCACACGATTTGGTGGCTCTTGCATCGCTTGGTCTCCCCCCAAATGAGCAGTCGAAACTCACTGTTACCCCACTGGGCATTGGAGGATTCATTGCAGAGTCTGCATTTTTTGCGGGCAGATTAGAAAGTCCCCCACGTCCCTCGCACTGGATCTTTCGACCAAAACCCCACATGAGCCCCGGATAAAGTTGTCTCCCCAAACATCGGAATTTGTGGGGCCCCCAATGCCCTCCCCAAACTAACAGTACAGCAGTAATGTTGTCAGTGTCCGCGTGTTTGAGGGTTCACTTCTCACCTTGAGCTATCATTTTGGGAACCCCTACCCACATGGGGCTGTGGGCATTTTTGAAGGGTACCCCCCCCAGTCTTCTGCTCTCTGATGGGAAAACCAACAGGAAAACCGCCATATGGGTGTAGCTCAAAATGAAAGAGCTACGGTTACGCGGGTTTTTAATCTTTGGTGCCATTTACCAAGGTGCCATGTTGGTGCATTTATTTGAGCCACAGCCATATGTTCTTTCTTTGTTTTTGGTTTGCAGGGGGCGCCGCCGCACAAGAAGGCACAACCAAGGAGCTGAACCCAATTCAACTCGATCGACCCATCTCGCCTGCTAAAGTGTTGACCCAAGGCTTGCCTGAGACGTGTGGGAGACTCTCTCAGGGTTCGGAGCTGGGAAAAAAGAGAAAAAACAAACGTGAGTTGGCCATTTTCTGTCTAAACGTTCAAGGGCTTTTTGGGGTTCGGAGTTTCAGGGTCTGGATGCTTGTGTAAACTTGGATAAAAACTCCTGCCAAGTGGTGCAGGATTTTGCGCATTCACGGTCCGGAGTACCAAATACGGGTGCCACCCCCCCAAACCCCTTTAGTTTCCCTTTCAGTCAGCCTCAATTGGGCACCAAATCGGCTTCCTTTCTTCAATCTGGCGCCGTGTTTTAAGAGAGGTCGCTAACCAAAAAGCGGTGCTCCTTTTTGGCTTTCCATCAAACCCACCAAACGGGCGACGCTTTTCTCCGAGAAACATTAAAACACACACACACACACACACACACACACACACACACACACACACACCCACACCCACACCCACACCCACACCCACACCCACACCCACACCCACACCCACACCCACACCCACACCCACACCCACACCCACACCCACACCCACACCCACACCCACACCCACACCCACACCCGCACCCGCACCCGCACCCGCACCCGCACCCGCACCCGCACCCGCACCCGCACCCGCACCCGCACCCGCACCCGCACCCACCCACCCACCCACCCACCCACCCACCCACCCACCCACCCACACGCACGCACGCACGCACGCACGCACGCACGCACGCACGCACGCACGCACCACACACACACACACACACACACACACACACACACACACACACACACACACACACACACACACACACACACACACACACACACACACACACACACACACACACACACACACACACACACACACACACACACACACACACACACGCCCCCTCTCCGGTTGCCGAGGCGCTCCGCCGTCCGCTCCGGCAGGCCACCGACGAAGACTTTGAGGCCGTTCCGGACCGCCTGGCGCGCTTCTCGGGCGCTTTTGTCGGCACTTAGGCGCTGTGGCGTGGTGGCCACGAGATCCCGGCGAATGTGTGTGTTTTTCAACTTCACCTCTGACAGTGAAAAATACCAATGCTCCCAACTCTCTCTATGCATCATTCATTTAGCTCTTGAAACCAAATAGAACTGGGGTCTTATTTTATTGGCCCATGCCAGTGTGATATGTTGTGTTGGAATCCCCAAAAGTGGTGGTTGGTCCACACGGGGTTTCCCTAAGGCCCCTTAGCGGAACAGATATTTTAAGAAATCTCTCAGTGGGGGGTACAGGGAGGGGAGGGTTCCAAAAGGAACGTTCAGTTGAACCCTAGAGAGTCAATAGAAGCCTGGGGCTCTCCACTCCCCCTTGCACATGCCTCCGGGGGATCTGATACATGGGGGGAGCCAAGGAGCCAAGCGGACAAAACCACCAAACCGCCCTCGGCGGGCTGCAAACAAGGCCCTCAAAACCAAATCCCCCACCCCAAAAAAAGTAAAAGAACGAAACAACTGAAGAAGCAAACTGAGAGGATTGTAGTCCAGCCGCCACGAACTCGGGGGTTGGGGTTGGGACCTTCCTCGAGTGCGCCTCACGCATGTTAAGCTTGGAACGTGGCTGTGGTGCGAAAGGCAAATGCGACCGTGGTGTGACACATCTCCCAGACCTCGAGCGGAAAGGGCCAACATTCCTTGTGGCCTTGACTGGAATGATGGTCTCACCCAACCAAAAAAGGCTTGCCAACTCAACAGCTGGGCACATGGAAACCTCCCGTTTGAATAGGCATCCCCAAACAGCAGCCTGACAGGCTCCTGCCATTTGCTAAGGCCCCTGGAGAAAAATGAGAACATATTTCCAGTGAAATCGATCCCCTTAAAACAAACCAGGGACAATAAATAATATGGGTCTGTCTTTTTTTGAGGGTACCCCATTTTCAGGAACAACCACAAGTTGAAAACCCGCCATTTTCGGGGTCCCCCCCAAAAAAACGACACACCCATATATTCATTTCGGCACATGGAAGGTGCTTGCGCCGCAAAAATGCCCGCCGCGCCGCGAACCCCCGGCGCCTCGTCGTCGTGAGGCTTCCCCATGCGCGGTGTCCCACGCGCCGGGGCTTTCCGCGAGCCAAGGGAGCCCCCTTGAGGTAGATTTGCGGAGAACATGTCTTCAGAACCCGGGCAAAGCGAAACCGCTCGGTTGACTATTTGGTTGGCTGGTGGGTCGGTTGCGCGGGGGCTGGCGTGGTTTCTGGCTATCAAATGGTTTATGACCTGTGGTCCATCCTGACCATTTGACGGCGACGTTGGCTGATTCCAGGTTTGAGGGCAACAAACAAAAAGGGATCGCGCTCTTGCTCGGGTGGAATCCACTGACCTGACGGCCGGTGACATGAGCTAAGGGTGGACAAAATCCGCAGAACACAAATCGACTTCGTAGGTGCTGCCTGGCCATTTGGGCGATTGTCCGAACACAAAGACACTTGAAGAGAATGTTCTGCAGGACATGGGATTATATGTGTGTTCGGAATCCGGTATAGGTGTTCTAAAACTCTTGTAGCACATTCTCGGGTACGGAATGAAAATCTGAGGCATCATTTCTCTTGGTAGGAGTAAAATCATCTCTTCCCAACCTGCATGCAAAAGAACAAGCCAAGAGCAGTCAGTTGTGTGAAGCATAACTATTCACCAATCAATCATGGAAACCCACGAGGCCCGAGGCAGCAAAACCCAAGGTTTCTACAAATTGTCCAAGGATCAATAAGATTCATGCAACGGGCTAAATCATTAGAATTTGGAACGGGTTTTGTACAGGGTTTAAGCCCAAAAATAGTCATGATTATAGGAATATGCTGTTGGTAATTAATTAGCCACCTGCGTTAACCCTTTCTCTAATTATGGAAGTGGACAGCGGCTTCCCTGCGAGAACAAGCAATCTTCCAACTTCCCCCCCCCCCCCCCCGCCACATTTACATATCAACAGGGACAACAGCCCGGAATTCGGGGCCCCTTTCACCATGAATTGGCTTCCCTTGGCAAGTGACTTTGTTTGCCTCCCAAAAGGTTGAACACCCCTTTTTCCGAGCGGACACCCCGATTTGACCCTGTCTGCTAAACAGGCCTCTCGCAGGATCTGCACTTGCCCCAGGACGGCTGGCATCCATACCTTGCACGGCGATCTGAGGCCGGTCTGTCAAAGGGGGCAATGGCCATGGGCAACCCACCACCGTATCGATATGAGAGGGCTAACTTGGTTGACGTTGGAAAAGGATCAAAAAAATCTGATTTTTGGCAGTTAAGTGGGGATGTTCCCCAACAACAACCACGCTCAGGGAATCGGAGTTGGGCCTTGTGAAATATGCGACTTCTTTGCCAAACTTGTCGCACGCGGTGTTTCGCAGTTCCGGCAGTCCGGAAAACGGCTTCTTGGTATCTTCCTCCAGGCAAACTTGATTTTGGCAGGCCCTTGGGACCTGTGAAAAGCGCCTTTGCAGAACCCCACGCTTTCCACACGGGTTGAGGAACCCGGCGCGTTCCCAGGGTCGTGTTCTGAGGTGATCTGGAGTCTGTTCGGCCAAGCCTTCAGATGGTTGTGGGTTTGTGTGAGCCCTACCCCCTGAGGCAGGCAAACTGGCCAACAATGGCCTATTAAAAGTCCTACAATAATTCCAAGACCTGAAACAAGGAATCCCCAAGTAAAGGACTCACATCATAGTATTCGTGTTACCCCCTTCTAAAGGCCAACTTGCATACCCCACATGGACATACCCCAATACCCCACCTGTAGGCCATGTATAGGGCTGGATTTTGAGATTTTGAGGTCTGCACCCTGTATGAGCCATGTATAACCACTGATTTTTGGGACTTGTCCAGTTTTGGGTACGCAAGTTGTCCCTCAGACCCATGAGCGAGCTCGCCAAAGGCAACACGACACAACCAACGCCATCGGATCGACGGATTTTTTGGGCGCCGCGCGAGCCAAGCGACATGGGCCATGGAGGACGCGCTAAGGGCGCGGGTCCCGCGGGCGTTTCCCCGCGGGTCCCGACTGCTCAGAGAGAGTTTCGGGGTGGAAAGCTCGGGAGAGCACTTTCTCGGGAAGCGATACGGACAGGATGACACGCCCCGATTTTTCTAGCACCCTGACTTGTCGACATGTGTCCCGGGGACAGGATGCTTCACTTTTGGGGGGAAACACCCCCCGCCCCCTGATCTGCCGGGTGGATTCATTTGGATGAAGAATAGGCTAAAGGATTGGTTGTTCAAATGAAGCTTGCGCAACCCTGGTGCCTGGTGAGCTGGAACAATTCAACCCAAAAATATGCTTCCCTCCAATTGGTGGCTTGGGTTGGTTTTTGTAATTGGCTTAGATTGGTGGTTTGGAGCTGCTTTCTGGTTGGGGGGGGTGGTAAATTCCCCAAACCAGTCCACCAATGGATGAAGGGTTACCTGACTTTGTCACTGACACCCCTGGTTGCGAAACAATATGACCGACCCCCCTGCAGTGCTATCTTTAGGTAACAAACATAGGACCCTTTTTGGGCCACCATCCATCCGTCAGCCATTCAGCTAGCCGGCCATTTGCGCGCGCGACCGAACATCATGGTAACCCAAGCCCCCGTCCCATGTTTGCCACGGGCCGCCAGAGAGGGGGCACGAAAAAGCAACCAAGGGACCCTTCAGCTTCTATCAGGGCTGCTTAGTCGGGCCAGCCCTTGGGACCTAAGCCCCGGTAAAAACTCCAGAAGGCCTAAGACTTGTTTAGCTTCGTTGGCATCCAATTGATCAGCCCACTTCCCCCTTTTCACCAACCCCGGGCAGTGAGGGAGGCATTGACCGCCTTCTTCGAGAATGGAAGCAAGCCACCGGAAAAGTTAAACACAGTGGTATCAACGCAAGTGAGACCAAATCCATAGGCCCCTGTAATTCGAACCATGTCTTCCACAGCTTCCCATGGAATTGTTTCGAGGGGGAAATGGAAAGCTCCATTTGAACAGACAAGGGCTGCTCTTATTCGACGCAAGGGTAGATAAGAATGGTCCCTGTAGTGCGAAATTAAACTGGGCTGTCCTGGACATCCCCACTAAACACTAAAAGGCTGACAAGCTAAGGGGATGGCTGGGAGCCAAGTAAAGACACCCAACCAATTGTCTACCTTTAAGCTTCAAATATCCGAAGCCTTGCAACTTGGTTCACTTGGGGCCAAAACCCGGCTGATAGAAAATCACAAAAATGCTTTGGACGTCCCCTCCCGAACCAAACATGGACAGTCGACCGGGCATTTCAACCGAACTTCTCGAGGCTGTGGGGGGATCATGCCCGTTGGCATGCGTTGCCTCAATCTTCATATCCCCCCCTGGACGGCCATACTTGGACGTTCGGTTTGCCACCAAGTTAGTAAGTGGTTAGCCGCTCGGGTTTGCTCACCTCCCCCAAACAAAAGGCCGGGTTAACCCCACATTCATAGGAGACCTGAACAAAGTGGGTATCTTGGATTGCCAACAACTTACTTTGGCAAGGACCCAAGCAGGTTGCCCCCCCCCCTCCCCCCGCCTTTGACTAAGCCCTTGCTCCGATCTGCACCCCGGAACCCTAAAACCTAGGCTGAGAAAAGGCAGCGTTCGAAGCTGGTGTGCCACCCCCCTCCAAATGAAGACGCTGAAACAAAAAACAAACAAACGAACAAACAAACAACACATACAACACACACACACAAACGTATCAGACAAACAAACAAATCAGCCAACAAGCAAGCTCAGTCGCTTCATAAAATCTGTAAGCATTGCACCAACGCCTTTCTAGTTCGCTCCATGTGCGGTGAGCCCTTGATCTCAAGACGTGTCTCTCTCACCGCTGCGCAAGGCGCCAAGGCGCGAAGGAGCTTAGCAAGCGCCGGCAGAAGAGGGAGCATCTGCCCCCACAACTTCTCAACTCATGGATATGTGCTGATTGAGGGTACCCGTGCTTTGGGATGCAAATAAAGGATTAATTTAACCACACATGCATATGAACCAACCCACATGGACGAAGAATTCCCGTCTAAACATCACAAATTGAGGGCAATTGACTTTTAGGCTCTCTTCACAACTCCTTGTGGATTCCCCAGCCTCAAAACTCGCCCAAAAGAAAGCGCTGGACCCGGACACCGAGCCTATCACTACATGGCTCTGCATTTTGCAGCGCCCTAACGCCCCGATTCGATGTGGAGCGGTGGATCAGCTCTGGGCAACCCTTCAACCCTTCTGGCGCACACTGCTGGCCGAAAAAAACATGGACTTTTCACCACCATGTTGGTGTCTCTCAAAACAGGGACCCTAAAATTCAAAATCTAGTGAGTTTCCTTTTGGGCTCCTTGAGCCCTTTTTTGAGGGTACCCCAAGAAAAAGCACACCCATTTCCTCAAGAGTTCCGCAACCCATGTTGGTTGAATACTCTCCAATTTGGTTTTGGGACGCGTCCCCGAGCCATTTTCCGCCATGTCCACGTCGATGCCCAGATCCGAAGCGACTCACCGGCCGTAGGCTCGGTAGCCTGGCGGGCCCTGGAAAGAGGGTCCCCGAGAAAAAAACAAAAAGGAGTTGCTCCAACAAAACTGGGCTTGTTTGATTCCGGCCCCATATTTTGTTCCGCGAGTTTGAAGGCAACTCGCCCACACACATGGGAAACCTGCATTTGGGTCCGCATTTGTTTGAAGCTACCCTTTTGGGGTCTGACTATGTTGTGTATATACATATATATATATATATGTATAGCCCATTAAGCCATGCATGAAAAGTGGCCCACTTCCTTGATTTACGGGACCAAATCGCTGCTCATGTGAGGTCTGTTGCAACCCGCTGAAAACGAAGTGAGCAAGCCACAAGGGATGGAAGTCTTGCGGGGAAAAACGAGAAAAATCAACACGCCGCAAGGTTTGGTTGGGTTGGCCCTGATAAACCTGTAGTTCTGACAAACCTGGAGTGAGGGGTTGTCCCGCCTTTTGAAGGGGGTAAGAAGACGGTTGAAAGGATTCAACCCCCAACTTCTCCCTGGCATTATTTTACCAAGGGGATGGCAGGAATTACCCTCCCAGCATGGAATTTGCCTGGCCCCTGGAAGACCTTAAGACGGCCTCGTAACCCAAGGTTCAGCAAGGATTACTTGCATC